CTTTGGAATTTGTAAAGATTGAAGTGCAAGGATCACGGGTTACTCTTTCACGTAGACTACATATTACAGCTTATATTTTGTTTATATGCCAAAATTGTGCGTTTTCCAATAAATTTGACTTTTCCCACAAATAACTCTAAAGGTTTAAACATCCGTTCAACCTCACGCATTTGCTGAAAATTTTTTATTACAGAGATCAAGTTTGCTATCGACAACGTTTGTTCTAAAATTGGTGAGATAGCACCACAAAGCTGGGGTTCTCATTTTTCAATTTGTTCTTTGCTTTGGCCATAATTTTTTACGAAAAAATTTTGAAAAACTAAGCATCGGAGAATAATATGAAGCAAACAGTGAACTGCTGGGATTCTAAATTTTGAACTCCGCGAAGTTTTCTTGCTAATTTCAAGTTGAAATTGAGCATTCAGCTCCAATTGCTCTTACTACTCACCAGTTTTTTGATCTATCCCAAAAGAATTCGAGGTATCAGCAATGATTTCATAGGAGATTGTTGCGTTCTTGCCGTCATCGTCATCTGTGGCCACTACGTAGTGTATAATTCGACCGGGATCAGCAAATGTGACCACCTCATCGGAGCTGAAGAAGCGACCTCGGGTTGGGAATGTTTTAAATTTTGTGGAAGAATATCACTATTACGACAAGGTTAAGATTCGAAAATTCAAAAGAAAATTTTTAAACAGTGATTACTAAATAAAATTCAAAAAGGTTATCACAAAACAAATAGACTACAATAAATATGCCATCTTTTATGCAAACCTTATGATTTGTGGGTGATTGTTGTTCACGTCCAAAACATCTACATCGAGAAGCATGCTTGCTTTTTCACTTCCAACTGATGCGATAACCACGAGATGGTGGGGTGACTGCAACACGACGCTTTATTTTTCGTAAATAATCAAAATAATGTCTTCAACGTTTTGCAAAGACTCAGATAAGCACTGCCGTAAAAAAAGAGACTCAGACAAATACTGTCGTAAAAGACGGGTCCATTTTCCCAAAAATGAAATTATAAGCTTGAAGTGAACTGCGTACCACAAGACTCTTCAACATTGAAAACCAGACTTGATTTGAAGAATGGAAAAATCTTCTACTGCCCTCTTCCATTCTTCAT